ACCAACAACAACAACAACAACAACAACAACAACAACAACAACAACCCTGGACCTGAGTACCCATGAAAATCCGTAGTGGTCCAATTGACGCGGATGGCTTCGTTGGTCACAGGCTAACGACCAAAAATAGGGTACATTATATAGAATGTCAAAGCGAAATGAGAAGGACCCAAGAAATTAACGGGGAATATTCGTGGGGAATAAGAAAAAGCGATCAGGGTAGACTTTCCTGGGCGTTTAGCTCAACTTCAATTCGCCAATGTCGCTTTCTCTCGCCGCCAATCTTGCGTCCAACGTTCGGCAGTGGAGTACATGCAAAATACAACCTTGTGTTGTTAGCCTAAGGTCTCTGCCATTTGTGTTTGCACCGCTTTCGATCACCTGTTCCATCCACCGGGCCGTTCCTTGGGCAGCGTGATATTCGCTCGCACCAATCTTGCGGCAGCCCTCCGCCATCACTGCACGAACCTGCTTCGGGGTGCACAACGAGCATAGGTTCCCGCGTCGAAAGTTCCCCCTATAAACAAAAGCAACGTGCCATCATCCAGCCATAAAACTGGCAATTCATACACACCATTTGTTTCCATTGAACATTTTCTTCGGGTGCTCGTCGAATGGGTGCGACATCACTACATACAGTAGGTGATCGACAGCGTATGAAATGAAACCTTGACGGCTATGGATTGATTCGTGGGTCCATCGCTCGGTAGTCTCAGCAGCGTACCCACAACGTGTACAACCGTCGTGTCAGCTTGAGCGAGACCAGAGTACGTCAAGCACAAAGCTAACGTTAGAAACTAGACTCGGCGAGGGCTTGTGGGTCATGCTCGAGTCGAACACACAGGAGTCCGGGATCGAGGATGGACCTAACGCCCAACGTCACCCTTGTACACAGTAGGGCAAGAAGGCTGAGAGTTGCTCGTTGATACCGTATACGTACACGATGTCCTCTTGGTGCTATCGTTGATGTACAGTGTGAGTGTGTCCCGAGACTGATCGCGGAATCTGGGCATGGCGTTTCATTCACAGGAAGAAGAAGCCCTTGTGATCTCAGGATTGGGTGCAACAAGTACGCAACGGTACGTACTACAGCAGCAGGATATTCCGGCATATACACGTCAGTCACTCTGCTGAATAACCGAGAAAAGATGAATGTTGTCCTTCTCTAGAAAAGGCCGTTGGTTGGTTGTAGAAATGAAAGAACCAGAACCAACTTCTCGAGAGGCAATGGCTGGGCGAAACAAGGGCTTGGCAAATTATTAACAGGTGCTCGGGGCAACCAACAAAGATACGAGCCTCGCAACAATACGATCATCATCAATGCCGTCTGTATGTAACATACTGATACTGATTGCCGCTCCTCCTGTGGGTGCATGATGGTACACGCGGGCGGGGGGACATGCCCCGAACCGTGCTCAGTGCGACAAATACTGTATCCATGCGGTCACCACACGTTCCAACTGCATTGTCTATGTGTAAGAGAAAGGGCCGACATCCAAGTTGTGATATCCGTAGAGATTTACCCTTCACCGAGTGCGGTCTACAGTACATCATCATCAGTAGACTGCTGTGTTTATATCTACAGGTAGGTATGAATATGTACGAAGACATCCAGGTTGGAACAGCAACCAAAGCTCCCATTGTAGTATTCCTGAGGTACCCAAGCGTCTGGGATAACTACCTGCCTACAATATAGTTGCGTGAACTGAACAAACCGCCTGAAGCAGTCACCCCATTCGTATCCTTTTTAAAAAGGTACAGAGGGAGAGTCAAACCACCAGTACCTCGGCTTCGTCGGCGCCGACCCTCATCGCCACAGTAGTGGTGAAAACTTTCCCAGCCTCATCAAAAGATAGCGTCAGCGTTGTCCATCCCTCTGGTTCACCAGCCCCTTCTCCCCCTGCGGGCGGTTCGAACATGGAGGGAGGTGATGCCAGAGCATTTCCTTCGGGGCTGGCGTTGACGCAACGGCAGACATTCAAAATGATGGCCGATATGGCAACTGCTGTTATCCAACCGGCGGATAGAGACGGACCACAAGGAGTAACTCCTCCTTTGCATAGTGCAATCTTCATTTCAACTGTTGAAGCGGAGCTTATGCTGCTGGGACGAAGTTGACCAGGCCAGCAAAGGTTACTCGATTTTGTCGGTGGCGAAATTTACCGGCTGTTCCAAGAGGTAAGATCAAAATCTACGGTTCTATCGTGTGCACATCTCCCACATCTCCGGTTTTTATTGGTTGGTATCTCCGGAGAATAGATAGGAACGCACTGATGTACTGATTCCACCGTCTCTATCTCCCGAGAACATGCCCAAACAGCAGAAGCAAAGGCCAGTTGTTATGGAGAAATTTTCCGATTTGGAATCCCGATATTACGCCTTTTACATCCAAACCCCCATGAGACCGCAGGAGTTCTGCGTACGTTCGTTGGAAAAGCTCACAAAAAAAAGCGCTTTGGCACTCAGTACTCGCCTCACAGAGACCCGTTTGCATTCAAACCTTCGAGGCCGCGTAGAGCATTCATTGCTGTGAGCATCTTCGAGCCAAGTTTGGGGAGCTGCGGTGCAGTGTGTGTTCACCATGCTTGGTAAAATAGGAATTCCAATTTGGAGTTGCTGGACGATCCGGGTGGGAATTCCTCATGAATTCCAAACTGGAATTGGTTGGACTTCCAATTTGGGAATCGTGAATTTGCTTTCATAGCATATTGCATGCTCTACGCACACTGCACTCTAGCTGCCCAAACTTGGCTCCGAGAAGCTCACAGTAGTGGAGTGTACAGCCTTATCGGTTAGATGGCAAACAGGGGTCTGTGAGGCGAGGACGAACTGACAAAGCGCTTTGGTGCTGCCCGCTTGCTGCCCAGTACGCAGACCTCCTTCCTACTTTAGGGGGTGGTGGAGCATTATCTGCCGATCCCCCGGATTCCAAATCGGAAAATAAGACCCCGATTTATGGGAACAAAATCTTGTCGATAAATGTTGATCTTGGCCAAGATCTGCCAGTTTCACGATTTATGGGAGCGAAATCTTCCGATATATCTTGGCTAAGATTTATCGAGGCCCGAAATCTGCCCTTTCGACCCTTCTTTATGGAAACAGAATCTTGCACTTATATCTTGGCATTTTGACCCAAGATTTGCTCACAATTTATCTCCACCAAGATTTGCAGTATCGCGATTTATGGGGAAAATATGTTGAATGTTGAAAAAGCGGCGAGTTGTTCCTCTCTTCTGCTTGAAGTTGATAAAGGCACAACGGCCACTTACTACTTGGTCCACAGAAATTGCCAAGGTGTGGCGAAAAGTGACCATGACGCAGTTAGTTGTAGAAGGAGCGTCCCTCCCCCAGCTGTATTGCTTCAACACTATGGGTGGATACTAGCGATGGGCGCCTACCTGGGGTGCAAAATTGAATCCGTTGCCCAAGGCGCGCGAAAAAAATGCGTATTTGCCCTGGCTCGTTCCACGTGTGTGTGCGTCATCACCAGTCTGTCGAGGGACCGTTCAAAGAGTACTTTATTTTTAAATAGAAAAATAGAGCAGGAGGAACGTTTTGCCAACACTGCTCTGTCGTGTGCGACGCTTCTATCTCTTCATCGAATCACCCCACACCCAATCCCTTTGCACCCGAGCCAGATCCGTGGGTGCAGATGACAGCGCCGGAGGTTTGACCTCGGTACGCCTGCTACATCGTGAGATACGTGCGTGCAAGGGTGTAATCGGCCTCGGGTTGATGCATTTTCTTGTCAGTTGGACAGCAATGGAACAGTTTTGTTTCTCCGCTTGACATGAGCTCGTGGGCAACGGATCCAATGTTGCACCCCAGGTAGGCGCCCATCGCTACTATCCACCCACAGTGTTGAGGCAATACAGCTGGGGGAGGGATGCCCCTTCTACAACTGGCTGCGTCATGGTCACTTTTCGCCACACCTTGGCATTTTCTGTGGACCAAGTGGCCGTTGTGCCTTTTTCAACTTCAAGCAGAAGAGAGGAACTGTCACGGTAGCATGAACGGGCGCTAAATACTGAGAATCATTCCCTTTCACGATGGTTTGAGGAGGGCTAGGGTATACCCCAGGGTGTACCTGAATCGTTGGCGGAGCCCCTCTAGAGCTCCGCCTCAACACGTGTTTTGGGTGATCGCTCACTGTTAACACGGCCAATCTCGGAAGAGGAACTTTGACCCACATCGCTAAGCAGCAACCAGTTGTGAGTCAATGCAGGAGGCAGACCCCCCTTGCTAGTCCCTCCTTGATTAGTCCCCCCTTGTTAGTCCCCCCTTGACTTAAATGGTAAGAGACCATGAACCTGACCATGAAATGGATGAACCTGACCATGAAATGGAAGAAACTAAATGAACCCTAGCCAGTGCTTGTCACGCTAACACATGAGTGAGCTACCTTAAGCAATAGCGTTATAACCACTGTGACATGGTGGAGGAGTAGGGATAACTTTTAGTTTGTTTACACGCAGGGACGTTTACTTTTGGCTCAGTTGCTGCTTGCTTCAACTGACGATCTCTTTTAGAGAGGTTGGATTCGCTCACAATCGTGTAGAACTCAATCGCTACCACCTCGGATACATGACTTCAACAGACCTAGTTTTCGATGACATGGGCCCCTCATAGGGGTATCGTAGACACTGGTGAGTTGCACCCTGTGCATGGTATCGCTCCCCGTGGGGGGGGGGATTATGATCCTTCAGAACGTAGCACAGCAGACACACGAATGTACAAACAAAATCATGCACGAAAAAAATCTTTTTTGACTCCCATTCTAAAATCAAGACGGAGCTCTGCCAGGCATGGCCGAACAGGTGGGATGAGTATGTGGCAGTGGTCGCTTGGGCCCATCGTATGACGCCGGATGAGAGCCTTCCAAACAAAGAGTCAGCATACCAACTGCTCTCTGGACGGGCGCCAAGGACATCATTTGATCACATGTCGCCATCACTAGACAACTCGGGCCCAGCATTGCCGTTGGAAAGGACGGTGGAGGAAACGAGAAGGAAGACTGTGGAAGTGATGCAAGTGCTAAAAGTGAGACAGGGAAATCGGAATAGACACCGCGAACTCCAGAACGCGAGGATCAAACGTGCATCACCAGGCACCAAGGCTAAGGTGGGCGACAAGGTATTGGTCAAGGAGAGCGCCAGTACACTCTGCCGGGATGGCGTCCACCCTAAACTTGCCCATGACCACTTCACAGGACCGTTGCAAGTCGTGCACGTCGTGCGAGAGGGGTTGAGCTTTACTGTAAGACTGGATGGACGTCAAATCCTCCATAGGACGGTGGCAGCCACGGACTTCAAGCCGTTTCATTCTCGACCACAAGACATCAGACATCCATTTGAGGATGATTTTGGTCATTTTGTATGGTCGCCGGATTTAGGATTAGCTGAAGACTCCGTCGTCGCGGCACCTCTGTATACTTTGGTGAATAGACGGGTGGTCCA